CGTGCGCCACCAACGCCCAGCTAAAACGAAGTTTTTAAAGGCAGCGGTGCACCCAACACTGACCCTTCCTCTCCAGTTCTGCGGGATGAGGAAAGCGCTGAGCCAGCACTGTGTGTATTAGGGGAACCTTACAGAGACAGGACCAATTTTGAAGTATTGAGAGGGAACCTGGCTGGGGTTCTGGACAGCCTCACGTGGTAGAGCGTGCCTGACTGCTACCTGCCAGCTTGGCTGTGTTTTCAAGGTAGAAATGAGTGAGCTTTCCCTGCTGCTTATGCTATCTTGCCTTTGTTAGGACAGCGGGACTATGAGTACACACCCCTCTTTATTATTATTATTTTATGTGTTTGAGTGTTCCACCTGCAGGTGTGTCTGTGCATCAGGTGTGTGCCTGGTGCCTGCGGAGGCCAGAGGAAGGCATCGGATTTCCTCAAGTCTGAGTTACAGGTGGTTGTGAGTCACCATGTGGGTACTGGGAATTGAACCCAGATACCCAGGAAGAGCAGCCAGGGGTTTTAACCACTGAGCCATCTTTTCAACCCTACACATTCCCTTTGATAAGGTGGCAGGCCCTGGGCCTTCTCTTTCTGAATGGAGTTGTGGAAGTGACTCATTCTTCTCTTTCTTTCTGGTGTTTCCTGCTCCATGACTGCTCTAGGCGTCTTCCTACTTCACAGACTTCATGCCGGGTTGTGGAGCTCTGTCAGGGCATCTTCAGCCAAGGCAGGGAAGACAGCTGAGTGATAGAGGCTCTGCCTAGAGCCCCTGAGAGCCTGAGTTTGCTGTCTGCATTCCAAGGAATAATTTTTTTGTTTCTTCAGACAGAGTCTCTCACTATGTAGACCAGGCTATCCATATGTGCTGGGGTTCCAGGCAGGCACTACCACACCTGGCCCTCAGATGTACCATCTGTAAAGAAGGCGGAGGCTGTGGAGGCTGCCTCGTTCATCTCCGGGTTGATGCCCTTTTCTGGTCTTTAGCTCAAGGACTAAGGCAGAGATGAATGGAGTCTCCAAGACCAAATGCCCTGCCACCGAGTTATGTTAAGGTTTATCATAAGAGATAAACATTTTCTGGTCTTCAGCTCAAGGACTAAGGCAGAGATGAATGGAGTCTCCAAGACCAAATGCCCTGCCACGGAGTTATGTTAGAACAAGACTCTCTTGATAAGATGTTAGTACAAATTATGACTATATAATTAAAGGTTTCCCTTTCTGTTTGTTCTTAAATAGGTTGCTGGGCATGGTGGCACATGCTAGTAATCTCAGTATTTGGGGGATAGAAGTAGTAGCAACAGGAGTTCAAAGTCATCCTTAGCTGCATAGTGAGTTTGAGGTCAGCGTAGGTCTCAAAAACTATATGTATATTGTTAATAACATACATGGAGGACCATCTGGGATAGGTACTATTTAAAGCTGGTGGTGCTAGGATTTGAACCCAGGAAGGAAGACCCCACAATCAGCATTCTTCATCACATCAAGGGTCTCAGTGGAGAACTAAATGTGTCCATCAAAGAGCAAGTGCCCAAGTGGTAGAAAGTAAAGAAATCATCACGTGGGCTCCAACTGTGGCTATATAATCAAGGTTTTGACAAAACAGAACGGGTCCTGGAGAGAGGGCTCAGAGGTCAAGTGTTTACTGTTTAGTAGAGGACCTGCGAAGTTGAATTCCCAGCATTCATTTCTGGCAGCTCACACCTGCTTGTGATTCCATCTCTAGGGGGAATCTGATGCTTCTTGGCTTCCACGGGTACCCACACGGACATGCACATATCTAAAACAGATGTAGGCATGCCTTTACAAGACTTTCTTTTTTTTTGGTTTTACGAGACAGGGTTTCTCTGTATTGTTTTGGAGGCTGTCGGTCCAGCCCAGCCTCAAACTCACAGAGATCCGCCTGCCTCTGCCTCCTGAGTGCTGGGATTAAAGGCGTGCGCCACCACCGCCTGGCTCCTTTACAAGACTTTTAAAAGAGGGCACTCATAGCTAACTGTCCTGTAGCATTGAGTCTGAGGCCGGCATTCCTTTTTTATTGTCTTTTGGACATAGGGTCTTGTGTGTTCAAGGCTGGCTTCAAACTCTTTACCAAAACAAAACAAAAGACAAAACTTCCAGGTAACACTGAAGTGCAGTAATGTTTAAGAGCTGCTGGTCTAGGAAGTAGCCAGAATTGCAGTTTTATTCTTTCCTTGGGCTTTGGGACAAGAGCTATTTCTCCAGTCAGCTCGGATCTGGAGGTCTTTGGTTGACCTTGCCTTATGGAAACTTGAAAGCAGAATCCTAAGTCCTCTCACTACCTCATTTTTAAAAATTTTATTTATGTACATGTGTGTAATATACGTAGTACTGGTGACTGAATCTTGGGCCTTGCACATCCTTGGTAAATGCTGAACACTGAGTTGTATCTCTAGTCTCTGGCTCGGTCCCTATAACAAACCATGAAGATCACTACTGAATTTAAAGTAGGGGAAAAAACAAACAAACAAAACCAACTTGACTGTTAAGACCGGAGAGGAGAATTGTTCTTTAAGTATTTCCTTAGTACTTCCTTCTTCTTGCCTTCCAGGACCTGAAAGCCTTTCTAAAAATTAGCATTTGTCTTTTGGGACAGGCAAAGGCCTCTGTGACTGAAAATTAGCATTTGTCTTTTGGGACAGGCAAAGGCCTCTGTGACTGTCTGCAGTGGCATTTCATTGCACTAGAGCATGTCTGGCGAACCTCCGAGGAACCTGGCGAGAGCCAGCCCTGCCGTCATCAGACAGGAAGTCTGTTTTGACCGGCTGGGTCATTGCTTCTTTCTGTGGTGCCTAAAGCCCCGTTGCACTTGGTTGAGACCTTGGAGCCTTGTCAGAGCTCACATTCTCAAAAGTGTGATTTATAATAGGGAGGATCTGAAGTTCAGGATTTTTTTTCTGGCTAGTGTCTTTGAAGATGGAGGTGCCAGGGCCTCATGTTAGAAGAATCCTTGCTTAAAACCTTGGCCAACCCAGGGCTCATACTACCATAATGTATTATTGTCCAATACCACAAAGAGTGATGTCTTTAAAAGTCAGAGCTGGAGAGATGGCTCAATGATTAAGAGTGGCTATGACCAGTGGCTGCTCTTCCAGAGGACCTGGGTTCTAGTCCCAGCACCCACATGTTGGCGCACAGTGTCTATAACCCCAGTTCCAGGGGATCTAATGCCCTCATCAGTCACTGCATGCACATGGAACACAGACACACATGCAGGTAAAACACCCAGACATGTAAAAAAACAAAAACAAAAACAAAACCCAAAACATCTTTAGAAAACAATAAAATTAGCATAAAAATTAATTTTTACTAGGATGTCAATGGAAAGAAATAATGAAAGATAAATAGGAAAAGGTCAAAACCTTCAACTAAATGGAGATAGAGTCAGTGTTGTTTTGTAGAGGTAGATACTCATTTTCTGTAATATCTGAGACCTACCTTCCTGTGCCTCCCAAGTGCTGGTAATAAAGGCATGCACCCCCACCCCCAGCTGAGATTAGTATTCTGTAAGGGGCTTCATTTCCTCTGTTTCTTGTGCAGCTGCCTGAGGAGGGGCATGTTTATGCCAGCCTGGGCAGACAAGGGTGCCAGGCATGGAGAGCTGGTGGTGGATTGTAGCTCAAGCTCAATTTAGTAACACAGACCTGAAGTTAGCAGCCTGGTTAGTGCACTTGCCTGTGACTTTGAAAAGGGGGCCAAGTAAGAAAACAAGTACCCCTGGGTGCTTCAAGTGGTTTATTTAGGATTCAGAGCCCAGGCTGGTGCTCAGCCCACGTGCTCCCTCTGTTGGACACCTTGGTATAGCAACAACAAGCACATTGCATCTGTGTGGCCTGGAACCCACCCTTAGAAATGTGAGATGTGCTGTACTGGCATGTTTCCACTTCTGCAAGAAGCAATGAGGGTTCTGGCATCCTGGCAATCACCTTTAATCCCAGCGCTCGAGGCAGAGGCAGAGGCAGAGGCAGAGGCAGAGAGGCAGAGGCAGAGGCAGAGGCAGAGGCAGAGGCAGAGGCAGAGGCAGAGGCAGAGGCAGAGGCAGAGGCAGAGGCAGAGGCAGAGGCAGAGGCAGAGGCAGAGGCAGGAGGATTTCTGTGAATTCCAGGACAGCCAGGGTCACACAGTAAGACTGTCTCAAAACACACAAACAAAACCAAAACCAAAACAAAACAATAAAGAAGGGACCAGTTCAACTCCTGGAGGCCCAGTAGACTGCAGTATCAGTAATGTGCCCAGGTACGCTGCAAAAGAGCTTACAGGCTAACTCTGTCTCTGGGCTATGAACTCTGTATGCCTCCAAACCCAGTGGTCCCAGGCTCAGTATTTCATAAAACCACTACTACCTAATCAAGATCAAATACAGACTTGTGCTTAAGGAAGCCACCACGAAGGCATTCTTTTTGTTGGAGAAAGGATCAAACAGCCCTGGTTGTCCTGGAACTCAGTAGACCAGGCTGGCCTTGAACTCAGAGATCCACCTGCCTCTGTCTCTGGAGTGCTGGGATTAAAGGCATGCACAACTATGCCAGGTTTATCAAGACATCCTTGCCTTCCAGGGCTCGGGATGACAGCAGCTAGGGTGTACAGAGGATGGGCCCTGCCTCCTTGCACTCACATCTCTCGGGGTGTGGAACCCCGGGCCCTCACTAGCATACCCACGCCTCCGTGAAAGTGAGAGGACAGAGAAGAAAGCTGCCTGGAGTAGGAATGGGGAGTAGGGCTTTTTGTTTGTTTGTTTTTGTACTTCCTTAAGTCTCTACTCCTGCATCCGTCTGCATCTCTAGCAGGAAAGAAATCTTTAAGTAATCCAAGAAAAGAAAGCGTGTCCCCACATTTGCTTGTGACAGTAAGAGTGTTCTAAGTTCCAGGGCACAGTGGGAGGGGAAATGAAAAGATCGTTCTGTCAACAGGTCTCAACATCGAGAAGTTCATCCTGGGCAAACCCACTGACAGGATGTTACACCCAGCGCCGCCAGCTAACTGTACCTTGGCCGTCTTCGTCATTCCCTCTGTGGGGTCCTCCTGGTTCTTCATGAGAGTCAGCTTCACGTTCCTGTTGGGTTTACATACCACAAAGAGTAATGAGAGGAAATAAATGCAAACATCCCTCTGTCCATGCCCTTCAGGGAAAATGAACTAAAGTTTCCTTAGTTGTTCCCCAACTGCCTTTTTTTTTCTGAACGGTGCTGGGGATTATTATTATTATTGTTGTTATTATTATTTTATTTTTTTGAGACAGGGTTTCTTTGTGTGTCTCTGGTTGTCTTAAAACTCACTCTTAGACCAGGCTGGCCTTGAACTTACAGAGCCCTACCTGCCTCTGCCTCCCAGTGCTGGGACTAAGGGTGTGCGCCACCACTGCCTGGTGTTGCCAGGATTATAATGAGGATGTCTGCCCGTGCCAGGCAAGTGTTCTGCTGCCGAGCTTCACCCCCAGCCCATCTTCTTGGTCAGCTTCTTTCAGCATAAGTGTCCAGGGACCAGTTAAAGCGCCAAGTGGGCGAGGCAGAGCATGGGCCCGTGGAGCGTGAGTCCCAGGGACCTTGGTGGCGTTTTGCTTATTCAATGTGCAGTGAGTGTCCAGTGCATGGCACAGGTGTAGTTGTGTGCTGCGGGATGGGAAGGAGAATGTCACAGGCCAAGGCCAGCTGGTGGAGGGCACAGAGCAAAAGGCTGTCGTAAGATGGAGCAAAGGCAGGAAGAGGCGGGAAGGTTGAGAAGGCGTTGGAGCCTCCAGGCCACGGTAAGGATTTCATCCTAGAATAGATGCCTCTTAGGGAAGCCAATGGGTTAGCCTGGCCTTTGGTGGAGTTCCCAGGGTGACCATGGGCTGGGGGTGCTCTCATTTGACACCCTCTTCCCTCTGTCCCCGAGTCACAAGAGTGATCTCACTGTCCAGAAATCCCCCTCCCAGCTCTTTTCAATCTCAGCTGCCGTTCACTGGGATTATTTGAAGAGTTTAACAAACAAGAGACATGCTAGGTTCTAACACCAAACAAAACCAGACTCTGGGGTGTAATGTTTGAGGTGTCTCATTTCAGTGTGCAGCTGGATCAAGAACCCGTGTCCTTATAGCAGTTGGAAGAGCAGCTGAAGACCTAAAAAATAAAGCGGGCAGAGTTGCCCCAGCCTGCACCTGGGTGCCCACCCCCCTGCCATTTCAGTGACACAGCTGGACTGAGACATTGCATGTTTCGGGCCCTGCAGTGACAATCACTTTTCCACCTGTCATCAAATTGCCCATTTAGGGAAGAGAACATTCATCATCTGCTATGTCCCTCTCCTCAGGATCCCCCCAGTGCTTCTTGCTTCTCTTGCTGGCTTTGTCCCGTGTGTTGGCCTAGTACTTGGAGTTGATGAGACCTGCTGACATGAAATGCTAAAGGTGGTAAATAACTCTCCTTCTTTTGGGTTTCTCATTTTGGAGACAAAACAGATGTGCCTAGTATAGTAAAATAAATGAATAAATAAATACGAGTAAGTAAAATAAAAAATTCATCCCCGAATAAAAGAAAAGATGCTGGCTGGTGATGGCACATGCCTTTAATCCCAGCACTCAGGAGGCAAAGGCAAGCAGATCTCTGTGAGTTCGAGACCAGCCTGGCCTATAGAGAGAGCTCCAGCATAGCCAGGGCTACACAGAGGAATCCTATCTTGAAAAACAAAAAACAAACAAACAAACAAAAAAACCAAAATCATGGCAGGAAAATCCTTACTTAGTCACAGTAAACTGTTGAGTTAGAAGATTAGAAAATGTACCAATTTTTACATCCTTATTTATAAAGCCTTCCAATCTATCAGGAAATTGATGGAAAGAGAGAAACAAGCTCCTTGTATTAGAAGAATTTCAAATGCAGAAAAATGACTGGTCTCAACAACATGCATCCCTGAGTCTGCAGGGGCAAGGAGTATATTCTTCTCATTTCCCAGATGGGAAGATGGAGGCAGGGAAAGTCTTCAAGTGAATCCTTATTAGAGAAATCAACTTTTAAATTCAGTTCATTCAGATTCTGAGAAGTGCGGAGCCACTGTCTGTCATTTTTGTTGTTGTTGTTTACAGATATGAGCACACATGTTAAATAATATACCTGAGGTCATTCATTCATTGCAACCGAATGGAAATAGCCCACATGGTCTATCAAATAGAGACCCGTTAGTTAATTATGGTAATTTAGGAAGAACAGGTAACTCTCTGCGTTGACACAGAAGTCCATGAAATCTAAGAATAAGACACTGAGCAGTGTGCAGTAACAGGCTAGTTTCCATGAAAACCCACTCTTCTAGTTATATTTGTAGGTATTGCATTCTACACTTCAGTGAGGGCACACAGGGCCAGGGATGATGTACACGCCTGTAATCCAAATACTTTGGAGGTGGAGTTAATGTGTAACATCAGAAGGTCAGTGTTATCCTCAGCTACATAGTGAGAGCAAGGCCATGAGCCCCATCACCTGCCAATAAATAAACATAAAAAAACAACAACAAACCTCTTAGTGCATTTCAGATTCAAACCTTGAACTGAAAACTAAAACTAATCCCAGCACTCAGGAGGTAAACAGAGAAGCTCAGCCTCCCTGTGTTAAACTTCCGTTGCTGTGACAAATGCCTGGGAGAGACAGTTTAAAGGGAGCAAAGCTCTGGTTTCTTAGTTTTCACAGTCCACTGTGGCGGGAAGGCGTGGAGTGAAACAGCCAGGAAGTTGGCAGACAGCATTCCTCCGTTCCCATGGCTCTCTACACTCCCATGGCTCTCTCCTTTCCCTGTTTAATTTCATCCGGGCCCCCAGCTTAAGGCATGATGCCACCACGTCCAGGGCAGGCCTTCCCCAATTTAGTTAACCCTCCCTGGGAATGTCGTCACAGACACACCCACAGGTGCCCTTTATGCATCTCCAGGCCTTGTCACCTAATAAAGTTGACATTTAAGACTGACCTTCACAGCTTCAGTTGAGACCCTGTCTGAAAAAAATCCAAACCAACATCTGGGGGCATAGCTAAGCAGTAGAGCACTTAACTAGCATGCAAGGTCTCCAACATCACAAAGCCCAAACAGACAAGAACAAAACACTAAAATGAAATCAGTAAGCCGAGCGATCAAAACACAAGGGATTGAAATGCTTGGAACTAGTAGTGTTTCAAAGTTTATATATACACACACACACACACACACAGACACACATATATATACAAACATACACACATACAGACACACACATACATGCAGACACACATAGACACACAGACACACATACACATACATACACACACACACACACACATATATACAAACATACACACATACAGACACACACATACATGCAGACACACATAGACACACAGACACACATACACATACATACACACAGACACACACACACACAAACACATTTTGGATTTTGGAATATTTGCATACAAATAATGAGATATCCTGGGAATGAGACTCAAATGTACACACAAAATCCACTTGTGTTTCAGATAAGTTATACACACAGCCTGAGGATAATTTTACACATTTTTAAAGTATATTTACACTGTGACACTTCTTTCACTTTTCAAAGATTTTCTTACTTGGGTGTATTTCAGATTTCAGATTTTGGAATTATAGATGGTCATCTTGTTGGGTGAATAAAACGGATGAAAATTCAAATCCCAGCTCTGCAACCTCTGGCTAAGTCATTTGTTTGTCCTCTGTTCCTTCAGCAAATGACATTTATCAGCCATGTGCCAAGCACTGCGACAGGCACTGGGGACACAAAGTTGAAAGATCTATTTGCAGAAAGCTCACTGTCTTGTAGGAAAATGACAAGAAACATCACAGTTCTAAGACAGAGTGTAAATGTTGTGATAGGTCCAGGTTTCCCCAGGACCTCAAGGGAGGTGAAGCTAAATTAGACCCGGGAGGTTTGTTTACCAGTAGACACAGAGTGAAGTCTTGCAGGAGCAGGAAGGCAGGGTAATTCCAGACAGAGGAAACAGTATGACGGGGAGCCTGGTGGCTACAGTGTCGGACAGTGTAAATTGAACATAAGCCACATCTTGCCTGGTACAGTTTGGAGTTTTAGAAAAACAGAATGTTATACTTTTCTACTTGCAAAGGAGATAAATCTTTGAAGATGGGAGTTCAACTGCACGGTCAGTGTGGACACAGAATATCGCTGTGTTTAGAACGAGCAAGGACAGTAGTGTGGAATTAGAGGCTGGGAGGGAAGCCGCTACAGTAAGAAACACCGTAAACACCCAGGCAATTCTGGGACCCTGCGTGAGGCAGTTTCCAGTGACACATGTGTGGTGGAGCCTAAAGCTTGCTCTCAAGTCCTACAATGTCACTTACAGACCGGGAATTACTTAACTCCCGAGCCTCAGTTTCCACAGCCGTCATTGAGCTAGGCTCTGGTCACGTGATCTGAAGCTCTTATTTGTCCTTGGAAAACCTCCAGCAGTCTTGACGTCCATCCTCAAACCCAGCCCTCCTTCTGGGCATGGTGCTTCTAGGCCCACAGCAGGCTTCTCCAGGGCAGTGGTGAGAAGGGGGAGGCATGGGATACAGAAGGAGGAAGGGGGACTTCTGTCTGTCTCCAATTGCCTACATGACTTGTCACAGAGCGTCAGGCTCTCCATCAGTGACGTGAAAGTAACAATGAGTAATACACAGAGCTGGACAGGGTGACGAACACTTAAAGTCCAGGTACTTGAGTGGTGGAGGCAGAAGGATCAGAAATTCAAGGGCATCAGCTACATAGTTCAAGGATAACCTGTACTACAAAAGACCTTGTTGAGAAATAGATTGATAGAAGCTACATAGAGTTCCCCAAGTTTTCACCATGGAAGACATATTTGGAAATTCTCTTTAATGTGACATTTGAAATCCGGGCGTTGGTGGCACACGCCTTTAATCCCAGCACTCGGGAGGCAGAGGCAGGCGGATCTCTGTGAGTTCGAGGCCAGCCTGGTCTACAGAGCGAGTTCCAGGATAGTCTCCAAAACAATACAGAGAAACCCTGTCTCAAAAAAACCAAAAAACCAAAACCAAACCAAAACAAAAAAATCCATGACATCTGATACCCAAAAGCAATTTTCTTTAGTTTTTTATTTATTTATTGTGTGAATGTACATGTGTGTATGTTATATGTGTGTGTATGTTATATGTATGTGTATGTGCATATGTGTGTGTACATGTGTATGTATGTGTGTGTATGTGTGTAGTGTGTGTATGTCTGTGTGGGTGCACACCTGTGGGTGTCATTTCTCTCTTCCCTACTGTGTGGGTCCCTAGGATCAAGCTCAGGTTGTCAGGTTTGGTAGCAGATGCTGTTCTCTGAGCGTTTTTAAAAATTTATTTCATGTGTATAGCTGTTCTGTGTACCACACGAGTGCAGTGGTTACAGGAGCCAGAAAAGGGCTTATGATCCCCTGGAATTGGAGTTACAGATAGTTGCTAGCCGTCATGTGGGTGCTGGGAATTGAACTTTGGCCCTCAGGAAGAGCAATGAGTGCTCTTAACCTCAGCACCATGTATCTCTCCATCTCCCCTACTGAGCTATCTTGCCTGCTCTTATTTCAACACTTTCTTTGTTCTTTCTTTTTTGGGGGCTTGTTTTTAGTTTTTTGAGACAGGGTTTCTCTGTGTAGCCCTGGCTGTCCTACAACTGGATCTGCAGACCAGGCGGCCTCAGAGTCAAGAGATTTGCCTGCTCCCAAATGCTGAGGTAAAGTGTGTTGTGTGCCACCATGCCTGGCTCTTCAATACTGTCTTAATGATAGAAAAAAAAGTAGTACTCCCACCCTTTAAAAATATGTGAGAGTTGGAGATTATAACTCAGATCCTCGTTTTTGCTGAGCAAGCATTCTCACCCACTGACTCTACAAAATCAGCATCTCGTTTGAAAGTTTCAACTTCTAAAGTAGTCCAGCTTTTCTGGCACTTTAGAAAGATTCTGGGGCCAGGGATGTAGCTCAGTGACAGAACACTCGCCCAGCATACGCACAGCCCTGACTCTGATTTCCAACATTGCAAAACAACATATCCCGAGGGCCAGTCCTGGTAGTAGGCGCCTTCAATCCTAGGCAGATCTCAGCAGCTCAAGATGAGGCAGAGGGTCCATTGAAAACAAACAGGAGAAAAAGGGGGAAGAGGAAGAGGAGGAGGAGGAGAAGAAGAAAGGGACTGGAGAGATGGCTTAGCAGCTAAGGGCACTGGCAGCTCCTTTAGAGGACCCAGGTTCAGTTCCCAGCTCCCACATGTCAGCTCATAGCTGTCTGTAACCTCAGTTCCAGGAGACCCAGCACCCTCACATAGACATACATGCAGGCAAAAGATGTACATAAGATTAAAAATTATAAAAAAGAGAAAGAAAGAAATGAAAACATGCTGGACAGTGGTGGCAAATGGTTTTAATCCCAGCACTCGGGAGGCAGAGGCAGGTGGATCTCTGTGAGTTCGAGGCCAGCCTGGTCTACAGAGTGAGTTCCAGTACATCCAGGGCTATACAGGGAAACCCAGTCTCAAACAAAACAAAACAAAACAAAACAACTCCAAAACCAAACGGATCCCTGCTCCTTCTCAGGCTCTGAGGCCAGAACAAAGATGTGAAATTAAATTCTTCACAGAAGCAGTGCAGAGAGACCTCACGCAACCTTACGGTGGCTTTTCATCCTAGTTCCCCGTGTGTCAGCTGTGTTTGGGTCATCCTTGAGCCTCGGTTCATACGAGGGCAGAGGGATCTGAATACTTGCTGGAAAGGGGAGTGGGAAATTTAAACAAGCTTGAGTGTGTGAGGGCCTCAGCCTCAGCAGGGGCCAACGAGTATCGGTTCCTTCCTCCCCTGGGCTGAGTCTGTTACAGACGTGAGCATGTTTTCAAAACTGTTATTTTATGTAATTCTCACCTCATCCTTGAGAAGCAGGTGTGGAGGGACTATTGTTAATCATTTCTATTTTGCAAAGAGGAAATGGTGTTCCAGAGGATTGGAAGGTCACTCAGAATCAGAGAAGACCTGGGCTCGCCAACTACTTCTGGCCTGACACCTTTACATTGCTATGTCCCACTTCATCTTGGCCTTGCGTGTTTCTCTTGGGAAGGTAACACTTGCCATCCTAAATATTTTCCTGGCAATATTATTCAACCTCATACATTCAGCGAATGTTGAACCTCACTTTGTAGTCCTCCTGCCCTATCCCTGCCAAGTTAACAAAGCACATTGAAACGACTCTTGGTCCCAGACCTTATTTCATAGGGCAGTGGGCTTCATCTTTGGACAGTGTCTTAAGCCAGGCCTTATTTCCCTGTTACCCCCATTCAGCTTGTAGAAACCCTCCCTGATGCAACCCCAACAGGCCTTGGCAGTGATCCTCTGAGCAATGGGTTGTACCTGCCTCTGTGAATAAAACCTGGGACTTCAGGACAGAGGCTCTAACTGTGGGCATGGTTGGCTCTTGGCTTGCATTCAGTCAGATCTCTCCATTTTCAGCTTGAGAGTTCCATTAGCTACATCTGCAGCAGCTGTGGAGTTGAAGCTTGTCATCTATTCTTTGTCTTCTGAAGAGAGGCTATATAACCTTCCGGGACAGTGTGTAGTAGGGGTACATTCTGCATGCGTTTACATCAGACTTTCAAAACTCCCTGCTTTGAATTCTGTACTTGGGACAGTGTGTAGTAGGGGTACATTCTGCATGCGTTTACATCAGACTTTCAAAACTCCCGGCTTTGAATTCTGCGCTTCTCATTTGCTCCACAAACACATTCTCACTTTCCTTCCTTAAGCAATGGCTGTTTTAGATATACTGCATCTTTGCTTATTCATTGTACTTTGTGTTTTCCCCTATACTGTCTCAGAATAGGGCGGGGATCTTGGTCTATTTGTGTTTGTTTTTCCCCTCTTGTACTGGAAATGGAGCCTGGAATTTGGTGCAAAACAGCTGAGCTACATCCCCAGCCCATCTCGGTCTATTTTGCTCATGGACATAACCCAGATACTCAGAAGATAGCAAGCACATAGTAGGTACTCAAAATGTTAGTTAAAAGAATAAGTAAACAGCAATGATGATGATTTACCACTGTTTAGGAAGGTACCAGCCATACTTCTTTAAGCCCTAAGAAAAAACAACACTGTTCCTAAGAATAGATTTGGGGTAAATATACAGGTTTTTTTTTTCTTGGTTTGGAAATGGGGTCTCATGTGGTCAAGGTTGATTTCAAGTTCCCTATGTTGTTGGTTTTTGATAGGGTCTCATGTAACCAAGGGTGGCCTCAGATTCCCTATGTAGCTGAAACTGATGTTGAATTACTGATCCCTGCCTCTACTTCCCAACCGTTAAGAACCCGCATGTGAGTATCATTAACTCTCTGCATGACTCTTAGTCCAAGTCCCACCTTGCAGAATGTGGAAGCCCACAAAAGCATGGCCTGAGAATTGTGGATTATCTGAGGTTAGGACAGTGGCCCTTATGACAGTTCCTGTCAGTCCTCAACACTAGATAGCATGTCACCATGAGTTCTCAAGTGTTTGTCCTGTCCTGTGTCTGTCTTTCCTAGTCACTTGTTATCAAGGGTCTGAGGTGGTGTCCTCTAGTATAATACAAAGGATCTGAAGTCCTTCCAAGCCTATCTTGGTTCTGCTCCTGGTCAGTTTCTTTGACTCTGTGGCCATTTTTCAGCTCAGCATACTCTGAAGAGGTCCAGAGGGGTTGGGAAAAAGCCTCAACCAAAGGGTTGTGGGATGAAAAGGGTGGACCAACCGATGGAGCACCACTGAACACTGTCCATCAGCCAGGGCTGTGTGGCATGCTGGGGGGGGAGGGAGAGCAGCAAAGGCGGACCAATGACATCCTCACCTCAGGAGTGCTCAGTGCCCTTAGCCAGAAGCGAAGCTGAGCCTGGGAGATCAGTGAACTGTTAGAGGGCAGAAAACGAGGGCTGATGTCCAGGAGAGAATCCACATCTAACCCTGAAATCATTAACTCAAGAACCAGGAATCTAACCAAGTTAAAGGGGCAAACAGTAATAATTATGTCAGCTACTGTCAAGACAGAATGAATCATATTTACCTGTTTTATGAGGCAGTTCAAAGTTACCCTTTTTCTCTCTGCTCCACTGTCCCCCACTACCTAAACCAGACACCCAACTGGTTTGTCCCTGATGGCTGGCTGGGATTACTGTCCTAATTTGTTCTTCCTTCATCTGCTACAACCTGCCTATTTTCTGTCCTCTCTGATAAAGTGAGCGCGCAGAGGGACTTCTGAGCTGTTTTTGTAGCATGCAGAAGTGTATTAACTGGCATTCCTGTGTATGTGTCTATAAACCCCTTGTCTTCTCAGTGTGAGATCACCTTCAGGAACGGCGTCATGTCGATGTGCAGCTTGCGTGTGTAAAATTCTTTTTCGTTTGAACATATCAGCCCTTTATTTATACAACTTTGAGGCTCTCCCATCTTCTGAGCTGCTGCCTCCAAGGACTGCGGGGCTCCCTGTGAGAGAAGCAGAAAGCCCGACTTTCATAGGAACGATACACAGGGCAACACGAGCCAAGCCAAACCCCCTAATATTTATAAAAAGCATGTTTTTCATCATGGCAACACTAATAGCAACACCTATTTTTAATCACTGAAGACATGGGGGATATATACATGTGGAGAACTATTGGACTGGTTAATAGAATCCAGAGAAGTGGGAAAGAGGGCCTGAGGTGGTAATTATTTCATTTACTACTCACAGCAACCCTGGGAGGCAGGTCTGTAAACCCCCACTTCACAGATCAGGAAACCAACTTGCCCAGAGCCACTGGGATGGCATTTGAAAGAGGTAAGATCACTGCCCAAGACAAGACTCTTTTTCTCTCTTTTTTTTTTTTTTTTTTGTGACAGTCCCTCACTATGTAGCTAAGCAGGCCTCAAACTTGGGATTCTTTTGCCTTAAAACTGTTGGGGTCATAGACTAGTACCACCATATCCAAACTATTTTCGTGATTTAAAAAATATCCCTAAGCTTCCATGAGTGGTCATCAAGTCTGTCCTGTGACATGTAGGATTATGGCAAGAGTCTGGCTTATTTGCAAACTGTGTTTGATGTGTTGGGAAGAGTGATTTAAACAAATGTGACGGAGAGGGGAGGAAGAATGGGCAAAGACAGGAGTCTGGGAGGCCCCAGGGGATCTATGATCTCTTGGGCCACACTCTCTGTGGTCACCAAAATGGGCAAATGGTGTCTCATTTCCAGGCACGGAAAGTGGGATCTGAAGTTGTCCTCCAGCCCTTGCTTCCCACTGCAACCTGGGTGACCTAAGAAGCGAAATGGCCATGTCCCTCTTCAGCTTCCAGGCCTGAAAGGCCATTGCCTTTGGACTGGAGGCCAGTCAACCATCTTTTTTTGTTTTGGTTTTATGAGACAGGGTTTCTCTGTGTTGTTTTGGAGGCTGTCGGTCTAGCCTGGCCTCGGACTCACAGAGATCTGCCTGCCTCTGCCTCCCGAGTGCTGGGATTAAAGGCGTGAGCCACCACTGCCTTACGACGTTTACCAGGAGGCCCTTCGTGCCTGATCCTGGTCTTTTTGGCCTCCTTCAGTCCCACAACAACTATTTATGGGGTGTCTTTTTCAAGCCCAGCAGAGTAGGTAGAAACAGCACACAATGAAGAGCACACTGACCCCTGCTGAGAGGCAGGAGAGAGAAAAGAAGGAAGCCACGCTTGAATGTCATTCACTCTTGATCTGGAGAAAAAGCAGCAGAGGGATGTTGAGGAGAGCCCAAGGACCACCATCAGCACCAGCTGCCCCTGGAGCAGGGCCTTCACTGGTCCATCTCTCTCCCGGGAACCCATTGCTCATTTTACTCCTCTTTATCCTCTGTGTCCTCTCGGCCTCCCAGTCAGGCAATGATGGTGGAGACCTTGCGGTCTTGTCTGCACTAGCTAACAGTGAGCTAGCTCCTTGAGGGCAGGAGCCACAGCCGCCTTGTTCTCCGGTCCCAGCAATGCCTGGCTCGGAGGTTGTGAATGTATACACAGTTGAGTGTACAGAGTAAGCTGGAGAGTATGAGATGGACGAGTGAAGGGTAGCAGAGGCAGCTCTGAGTGCAGATCAGCTCCCTTCAGATGGGGAGGGGACAAGAAGCATCCTTCCCAGGAAGTAAGCCTTGACCTCCACAGGCCTGACCTCCCTGTGGCACTGGTCCCTCATTTGCAAAGAGAAAAGTTATTTATTTTGCGGGTGCCGATTTGCTGGGGTCACATACATTAATGTGCTATGAGATCACCCTGGGTGGGAATTTGATCAGTTCCATGCTTTCTAGGAGACTAACTCTCAGATGTTTGTCTCTCCAGGCAGCCATAAACCATCCCTCCCATAACATTTATATTACTTGTAAGCATTTATGAGGAATTAGCAGTTGGTGGGTCTCCACAAGTGACCATCATTCCAACGAACAACCACATCCATTTCCTTTGCTTTGAAATGCGTCTAGAAATATATATATATATATATGTATATATATATATATATATTCATTTCAGCCATACACCTACTTAGCTTCTCAGGCAGAGATTTCTCTTCCCCTCTTCTAGATCCAATGACAGTATTTGGTTCAAGCTAGAATCTGACAGGACTCAAGCCGCTCAGTCTCACAATCCTCATTCTCAGTTGGACTCTTCTGCCTAACCTTTATCCTGTCCAGTTATTGGCCAGTCAGCTTCTTCATTAAACCAACCACAGCAACGTATATTCACACAGTGTAAAGGAATACTCCACACTTCAGGAATCACTGGATGGATGACGGAAACCAGGCCACATGATTTGGGAGACAATTTCTTCATTATCTACAAAGATTTTGTGTTGGGCTAGAGAAGAAGGCTATGGCCAAAACCAGGTAAAACGGCTGGAATTACTTCCATTCCTGTGTGGAGTTCAACTTGACTTGTTGAAATCCATATCTTTTGACTTGTCTTTCTCTCTAACAATTCTCTTGACCGTTCTGCTCATCTCCCTGCCACTTAGTAACCATCAGTTGTAGGCTGATGGAATGCTTTCAGAGAAGCATGGTTTATTGTTATGATGATGATGATGATTACGGTGTTCAAGTGGTTCTGCAAATAAATAATGGTAAAAGAGAGACTGGGAGACGGGAGTAAAGATGATTAAACATATGAAGAGGATTCTGAGAGGCGGTAAGAGGAGAAAAATACCAGAGAGTTAGAAGCAGAAAGGCAGGCCCTGTGCTTGGTGGTTGGTGTTTGTTCATTAAATAGGTATTTATTGTGGCTACAATGTGCCAGACAAGCCAGCATGGGTCAGCAGGTGATTTTATATGCTGACTCATCAATGAACACATTGTAATTGTGCTTGATAGGCTGGCAACTGATGGGGGACATTTGGTGACATGCCTTGTCCCGGGACGGTGATATGGGGGACGTCTCTGAGGAGGAACAGTGGAGCCCAGACTGAGTGACAGGAAAAGACCACACGGGCCAGAGCTGTCTTTAGAAGCCAGTGAAGCCTGTCTCTCTGTGCTCTGATTATTTTCCAAGGTCCAACACAGGCAGGGACACTTTGAAAAGGAAAGTGGAGTTCTCGATTTCCAGGCCCCATCCTGACCCTGTGAGCTTTGAGTCTGCAGGCTAGAGCAATCAAACCTGACCCTGGGAGCTCTGGGGTATGTTGAGAGCTAAGACAGCGCCATAAAGAGTAACCCAGGGTCAAGGTCAGGAAAGGCAGGAAGGAGAAGAAAACCTAGGGCTAACGGGGAAGGAAGGGAAAGATGGGGGGGGGAGCAGAGCCCTAGAACTGTTTTTGTGTTTTCATGTGCACACTTTGGTGGAAATAATTTTAAATTGGTGGAAAGGGGACCTATTTCAGAGAAAATCGAAATTCATCCAGCCCCCTTCCTCATGTTGTACTGTAGATATTTGACTATTTTTAGGGTCTGCTAAAAGCACCTGGAAGCCTTTCTCTTTAGTAAATGAAACAATAAAGATGAATGAGTTAATTTGCTAAAGCTGATTTGAATTGCACAGAAGGCATTTGCGCAAGTGCTTGGCATTTAAACAGTTATCTGACATTTAAAAGGGGAAGGACTACTAATGAATTCAAGAGCTAATCTTACACTGTGACAGAGCGAGCCACGGAAAATCCAGGATTATTATCTTGCTGTAAACATAATGCGATTCAGTTGCCCTATCAACAGAAGAGAGCAATTGACTGCATACAAATATCCATAGGAACACGAACGAGCCAAACTGAAGGGGGATGTCCCTTAAAATTAAGTACATAGCTTATCACTTCCTTTAGTACTCTTGGATTGTAACATCTGAACCACAGACTCAAGGAGAACCACCACCCTGTAGTCAGTCAATTTCCCTCTTCCCTTGAGATTTCTTGAAGCCTCCCAAGTTCCTTTACAAACAAACCTTGCGATCTCTCACTTTAAAATGGAACTCTGAAAACCCAAACAGCTCCCTCTCCACCCCTGAGTCCCACAGAGTCACCAAGACAAGGATCTGTCCCGTAGGCGTCCCGCGGGGCCTCCTCCTGATGTCTCCCACTCTTTTCTAATTGGGGTTTCTCCACCTTTGTAGCTGCCGCTTAATGGCTCCAATAGGAGCTCCTGTCTCTCATTAAGTAGGCTGCAACACTCTGGCCCGCTAACCGCCTTGCCTCCCACGCAGCTCCGTTCTGCCTGAGAGCCAGCTGCCAAAAGTCTCTGGGAACCTGTGGGCAAGCTGAGCCCTGGGGAAGGAAACAGGAGGGAGAGCGAGCCTGGGTAGCTGAGATTTGAACACACCCCACCATTATCTTAATGCATGGAGGAGGGAGCGGGGCTGTGGGGATGCCTTTGTTGAAACCCCTGTGAAGTCCTTTAAGTTGTCACATCAAACCTCTGTGCACACAGGGCGTTTGTCCCCACCTGTGAGCAAACAAAAGGAAGAGTCCTGACCACCAGACCCCCTCCATGGCCTCACTCTCCTATTCTTTGGCGCTTTGAACCCTGGTGGGGAAGGGAGATAGGAGAAACTTAATCCCTATGTGTAGAGGAGGAGGAGGGCTGGGATTTGAACTCCCCCTCCCCACAACCAAATGCTGAAAATGGGAGTTTCTGGATGGGGGCCTGATCAGGTCCCTGAGTTTTGCCATCTGGGGCCTAGTTACTTCTTCCCTTGGCAGCCTAGGACCCTGAAGTACAGTGGAACTAGGAACCGGAGCGGGGCTGGGCTTCACAGGGAACCCTGCTGGCTCCTGGGGGCTTGGCTTCTCCAAAAGGGTGTTCTCTGAGGGACGCTGCCACCCTTGAGCTCCACTCACACCTCCTCTCATCTCCTCAGGTCTCCCCCCCTGGGAGAGAAGGAGCGCTCTAGTGCACAGCCAGCCACAAAGGGCCAGGAACACTGGTTCTCAACCTTCTTAAGCTGTGACCCTTTAATACAGTTCCCCAACCATTACACTTCTTTCATCGCTACTTCATAACCGTAATTTTGATACTGTT